ATAATAATAATAATAATAATAATAATAATAATAATAATAATAATAATAACAATAATAATAATAGTAATAATACATGGTAGCTGTACGGCGCATTATGCATACCACGGTACCTAGGCCTTCTCAGTTGACTGAGAGGGACTGAGGAAGCTTAGGACGGTACCCATTCTACAGCTAGTATGCTTTATACACTTTACAATCTATTACCTCAGCAGACTCCCGAGGTTTAGTTTTAGTAAGAGTTTTACGGCTCTTGCACCTTACGCAATAAGGTCGTATAAGTGCTGAAGATACTAAAGGTGTTACAAGAGAGTAACAAACACACAAAAAGAAGGAGGGGAGATAGAGACGATATATTTTTTTATAGGAAAGAATTAAGGAGCAATCCAAACCAGAGCACCCGCCAACCACCCACTTGAACACTCAGAAACATTCTTCGATCCCCGAAAACCATAATGGCCAATTAAGCTTTCAAACAATAACAAATTGACAAGACAAAACATTATTATGTATTTATTAATCAGTCAATCAGTTTATCTACCTGCGGTCTTTTAATTAATTTTTTAAAAAAATTCTTTTTTGTTCAAGTAGTCACTGTTCATATGCAGTGTCAGAGGAAGAAGTTTTTCTGATCAGACAGTTCTTAGAAGCGCCAAATTGATATAAATTCTTTAGTTGGGGGGGGGGGGATAGGGGGGATTCAAACCCCAAAAATCTTAAAATAGACAGTGCCTGGGTTATAAAATTAAATAATACGTGCATTGCGATGTCAACAACGGGTCTTTTATCCCGATTTACCGTCGTCCTTTGCCACTCTCCTTTTTTTATATTTGTTGCTTTCTTAATTGTAGCTCTAATCTTGGGCACTTGTATGACATTTACTTTTAATCTCTTTGCTATCAAATAATAATTGCTCAAACCAATCCACCCGATGTTACCAAGCTAACATTATATACCGCAAAAATGAGTTAAAGAACAGCGAATCTGGAGACCCTGTAGTGTGGTGTGTGGTAACGATAACTAAAAAAACCGCACTGGCGCACTTGGACATGCTGGTCAATGATCTTTCTGACTTTTATAAGAAATTTTTTTCATCTTACCTTGGCAATTAAAAGTCAGTTATATCATAACTATTGCAAATTAATGTATCATTCAAAGTTTGTCGAATATGTTTCTTAAATTTTAAGTTTTGCTCTGTTAATAAATACGGCCCGACTTCATGTTTTTTGTAAATAATGTCACGTGACTGCAAATTTATGCTGGCCGCTTCTTATTGTTTGTATGCCAGTTTGACAACCAACAGCCTAACTATCAACGAGCATTTGTACAACCATGACTGCACAATACTATCGTGGAAAGATTGCTTCACACATCCATACAATATTTCCTTAAATTAAACAATTTGACATGCTGCATGAAGTGTGATGAAAGCAAGGAAAGCTTCTTCGTTAAGTTCCTTTATTTAAAAACATATTCCCATTTGCAGCAGCACATCTTCAACTCATGCAAAAAGATCCTATACTTACTACGATCTTTGGCTGAGCTATGTGGTATTGCTGTTTGGCTTTTCATTAAAATTTTCAGTAAGGAGATGTTTCTGAAAATTTATAATTGAGAAATAATTATTATGGTGATTTTAAATAATACATTTACGCGTACTTGTAAATTTGGGAAACTGAATTTGGCAACAGCAAACAGGACGACAGTTTAAGAGAAAAGGAGAATAGAGAGGTTAAAAGAAACGAAGAGTAGGAGAGATAGGGGAGAGGGAGAGAGATAGGGGAGAGGGAGAGAGAGAGAAAGAGAGAGAGAGAAAGAGAGAGAGAGAGAGAGAGACGACGACGACGACGACGACTTATAATTAAATAACAACAAACACTCAAACGTACCTGGCCACAAGCTAAAAGGAGGGGAGACTACTGTGATTATAATTCCCGCCGACACTGTTTTCATGGTGTTGTTTTGTGGTTTTATTGAATTATAATTGTATTTGAAGGTAAGTTGGCCTAAATTGTATGCTTTGTTTTTTTGGAATGTTCCACAACCCATTAAAGAGTTCGTTATTGATAGACTGCAAACGATCCCATAGATGTAACTGCGATTTTCATGTGGTCTTAGTTCATCATCGCCAACCAGTTGCTAGATTCTAGATGTTGTACTGTCTGTATTGTAAAGCGGTCAGAGCCTGTGTACTTTATTAGGGGTTGAGCGCTATATAAATGTCATTTATTATTATTATTATTATCTTTTACTCACACACAAGTACTTGAATGCTTCATTTTACTCTTCCACATGTAGGCCTATCTATCACAACAAACTCACATGAACATCTTACTCGCATACATAGGCCTACCCTACACGAATTTCCCTGTTGTTTCTTCTTCTTCTTCTTCCCTGCTCTCTGCTTCTCCAACTTCGTTAACTTTTCTCCTCTTTTCTCTTCTTCCTTCTCCCCCCTTTTCTCTCCCTTTCTCTCTTCCTCTTTTCCACTTCTTCCTTTTTCTTTTCTTCTTCCAATTTCTTCGCCTCCTCCCATGCTTTGTACTTTGCCCGTAAGACATGTATGTAGGGGCCTTAGCCTAGGCTAGCCCGCTTCTCTGTGTTGAAACCTTAGACTTAGATAGTTCCAGCTTGCTGGTATGGGCAGGTTGACGAACGAGGGGGCAGGAATGAGTTGATTTTACAAATCAAGGTATTTTCTGTATGCCCCCTCGTTCTCCTTAGGTTCGATTTTGTGCCAATGGCAACGGCGGACCCAATAATGCATGTCTGATGCCATCCATCCAGTGGCAATGGTGTGATCAATTACACTGTCAAGGACAAAGCAAAAGTGTTGTCCTGAGGCAGTTTTTGGGGGGCTTGGGGTGTCACCAGAGTTTCATCTTCCAATGGTCTCAATGCCTGCTCAGGTAGACAATAGACATAGTCCTGGTTATCCACAGGATCCCGAGCTGGGGTCGAAACCAAACCAAAGGTAGCTGAAACTCTGCTGCAGGATCCAGGAAGTCCTCGGAGGTACATTCGATCCCCGAGAATTCCTGATCTGTGGTCGAAAAGTCTAGGGCATCAACTGACCACTCACAACTAGAGACAAGGGCAGTTGGGGGAGGGCCAGCAAGTTTTTCTTCTGAAACAGAAGCAGTAGGAGCAGGAACAATATCACAACATGTGGAAACAGTGGCTGGAAGAACATCATCACAACATGTGTATACATTGGACAGAGGAACATCATCATCATCATTACATACAACGGGATAGAGTTTCCTTCATCATATAAATTTGTTTCAAACATTAAAAAAGAAAAATCTAAAGTCGCTCATTTTGTAATGAATACGTGTCTAAATAGATCTATCTAGATCTATATCACATCATAGAAACTAAAAAATCTAAAGTACTAAGATGCCATCCATAGTCCGTCAAGAAATAGGGTGACCTTATTTAGGCCTAAATAAGCTAAACCCCCTCTCCCTTACCTTATTTAGGCCACCTGTGGCCTAAATAAGCTAAACCCCCCTCCCTTACCTTATTTAGGCCATATGTGGCCTAAATAAGCACTCCCCAAGAAATAACTATTTTTCAAGTCACGCTACATGTAAAAAATACGGTGACGGTATGGGGTACATCCATCAAAAAATTGTACCCCATATCGTCACCCCCCCCTACGGGCGCCAATGGTTACAACAAAGAGCAGCGAATGGTTTGTGGCGGTAACTAGACACCTTATAAACTGAATAAAAATGCGAAATGAATCCTGCGGGTACGATTGTAGAACCAATAGCTTATTTCCCAAGATGTATTGCGCATCTGCAAGCCGTAATGGCTGAACGTGGTTCTTACCTTTGGAGATGAAATGGATTATTTCTGCTCACACAGGTGTCTGATTCTGCTCAAAATTGTTGAACTTGAAAACAAAACAATGTTGAACGGAATTGTTTAGCAGACAGCATTCCAGATTATCGCATAATTGTCTGGTTGTCCAATTTTAGGCCAAATGCGTGCCAACTGATGGTATGACGTACGTGACGGTATGCCGTACATAGGCTATGGATCTAGTCTAGTGGCCAGTTATTGAGTTAGATCTAAGATCTAGATATAGATCTAGATAGATATAGATCTAGTGGCAGTGGTACCAGCTCCAGTTCACCGTGCCTCTAAGTAATTATAGTTTATTGTCAGGGTCCGTGTGTGTACCTCATACCATCATTATTAACATGTTTATTTAACTGGCTGGATTGTTCCGGACCACCCATCTGGGCCCGTGATTACTACGGGCACCTAGCCTAACTACGGCTATGCACTCCTAGTTCTCTACGCTACGTGCGGAGAAGAGGTAGATCTAGTTCCGGGGGGTCTTAGTGACTTCAGAGCGCAAGCCAGTGGCGAGGCAAGATGAGCGAAAGGTGGTGATTGAGGGTGGGGGGTGGATAGGAGGGGATTTAGGCCACCTCTATTCTCACCCCGAGTGAGAATGAAAGTGGCTATTCTCACCCGGGGTGAGAATAGAAATGGCAATAGAAATACGATCGACCTCTCACCCCGGGTGAGACTTGCCACAGTAGGCTATTCTCACCCGGTGTGAAACAAGACCTGGTTTTCCTAATTTCGAAATACTTTCTATCGATAAGGATGGTAAAATGGATAAGGCGGCACTATTTCTCCGAACGTTCGGGAAAATAAAGCTGGGCACTATTTCTCCGAACACTCTGAAATATCATCCTTTCCCGCAAATTTCGGATATTATATAGAGATCTATAATTATAGTATGGGCCTACCAAAGATCGCTCGAATACAATATGGTTCAATCGGTCCAAAAAATGTCCGCCGTAAATATTTATATAATAAAGAAATGCTACAATTCCAAACAGTTTTTCGCTATAGATATGACGTGTTGTCTATGAAGGGTGCTGCTCTTTTAAAACTTAAATGTGTTGTGTTCACTCGTGTGCTGTCTAGATCTAGATCTACGGAAGGTTATTGATAACGACACATAGAACTGGCATCTGCGTTTGTCACTGCTGCGACCAATGTACTGACACTGGCAAGCCCCTTAATGTGTGTTATTCCATAATTTACATGTAATATCCTGTACTTTAAAAAAAAATTACGCACGTTTAGGGTTAAAACTGCCAATCTTCTTCGGACAGGTGGACACACGCCCTTATTTGTTACGAAGTGTATACAGACCCGGTAACCGGGAACAAAGTCACGAAGTATACAGACCCGGTAGGGGAACTCTTTTGTGATTTCAGAAAGTTTCAGCGCCCAGACCCGGTAGTGTGTGTGTGTGTGTGTGTGTGTGTGTGTGTGTGTGTGTGAGCGAGAGAGAGAGGAGAGAAGTGCTAGCAAAATGTATATTATGACATGCCCCAGTTGGCAGGATGGAACGAGAGAAAGATAGAGTGGGAAATAGGTGGGGAGAAAGAAAGACAGAGACAAACAAAGAAAAAGAGAATGCAAGCGATACACAGAGACAGAGGAGAGAGAGAGAGAGATAGAGAGGGGACTGCTCGATTGAAATTATGACATTGTTGTTTTCTTCAAATTGTGATTCCTCCAACTCCAAAACGAAGGAAAAACGATCGTTCATCGAAAAGACATTGGCAATCTCTAGATCTAGATCTAGGCTAGCCTCGAAACTAGACCAATGATGTATGTCTGTCTGTTTAGATCTAGACCTAGACCATAGAATAGAGATCTAGATATAGGTCTAGATCTAGAAGAAGTCTACCTTAGTGTAGAATTCTGTGGTCTACCCTGAGCCAAGAGGGCGCTGAAACTTTCCGAAATCACAAAAGAGTTCCCCTACCGGGTCTGTATACTTTGTGACTTTGTTCCCGGTTACCGGGTCTGTATACACTCCCTATTTGTTAATGTTTGTTGTTGTTTATGGGCTGTTCTAATTTTGATTTCTTTCTGTTGTGAGACCTTTCTTTTTCACGTTTTTACACTCATCTAAAAATCTCATCTAGACTAGCTGTTGAAAATTGAAATAGATATAGACCCAAAAATTTGCTCCTGTGTGTGTGTGTGTATGTATGTGCGTGTTTGAGTATGTCTGTGTGTGGTAGTAAGTGGAGAGTGAGGGGTGTGTGTGTGTGTTTGTTTGTTTTTCGGGTTTTATTTCAGCCTTTATTCAGTAACAGTTCAAAGTATACAAAAATAGAAACACAGGATCCATTCACTCCAGGGCTCATGAGTCGTTCGTCTCTTTCAGTTTCACTCTTTCATTCAATTCCCGTGTTCTCTCCCGCGGCTCATCCCCGTCCGCATGACTTTCATACCCCACCCCATCCCTCCAGGCACACACAAAGAAAATCTCATTTGTTCCCTGCGAACCATGGACAATAATATAGGCAAAACACCGCCTGAGCTGCATTCCTTTTGTTCGTGAGCTGTGGACCAGGCCAGGGGTGGTCGGTGTCGTCGTGTCGTCGTCTTGTAGTTGCTGTCGCCTGTGGATACACTCGCACATTCTTTCTTTCACCCGCTCTTTCACTCACACTGTCTCTCCATCCACAGTTCAGCTCGTCATCCGTTCAAAAGTTGTCCACTAGTTATGTTTAGTTAGTGTGTGTACATGTGCATGATGGTGGTGGGTGTGTGGTGGGTGTTACTGAAGGTTGTCTGTAGGCGGGCTTGCCATGCGGTACGTGTTTCTTCCCAGACCAGGGGCAGAATGAAAGTTGGCGCCAAACTCTCACAATAAATTATAGGCAAAAAATCACGAGACCGGAAGCCGGAAACCGTTCGGAGAAATAAAGATCGGCACTATTTCTCCGAATGTTCGGAGAAATAGTCACTTCGAATGGATAAATGCAAAGAAAAGATTACGTTATAGCACAAAAGTAAGCAAATTTTATCGACTACAAAAAAGATGCTATGGCTTTCACTTTTTGAATCGAGCCAAACTATGGGGGTCGCCATTTTGTTTTGCCCGAAAGTTCTCGCAAGATCTACTCCTCCCCTCTTCTCTCTCTCTGTCTCTTTCTGAATACTGTCTATCGGTGTGGACGATCAAATTGACCAAAACAAAGTTAAAAAATGATGTTAAAACACAAAAGTAAATTAATTTGGTCGTGCACAAAGATGCTACGGCTATTTAACTTTTCGAATCGAGCCGAACTACGCGGGTCGCCATTTTGTTTTGCCCGGAAGTTCTCGCGTTACTCCTCTCTCTCTCTCTTTCTCTCTCTCTCTCTCTCTCTCCTCTGCCCACAGACAAAATTGTACGCTTTTAGTAATGGAACGTTTGTTCACGGCACAGAATTCTACAATTTTTCTGTTATCACAGTGTAGAATTCTGGGGTTTAGGGGTGAACGCAAAATTGGTTGGCCTAGATCTAGGCTATAACGGTGAACGCGCACCGGGTGAGAATAGCCAAAAGACTCGCCTACACTATTCTCACCCGGGGTGAGAATAGAGGTGGCCGGGTGAACGAATCGGTCTTTTTTTTTTTTTACACAGCTCATATTATGCAGGTGGCAGGTGGTCTGCTAATCTTCAATTTTACCTTTTTCTACAACAAAGTGGGAAATGTGGGGGGGGGGGGGGGGGGTATCAATGAGGCAACGGGCATCGGATCGGCAGAAAAGGTGTGGGGGAAACTAAAAAATGTCGGAAAATTGGAAGCACTGAACGTTAGATCTATAGAACGAAGACACTTCCTTTTTTCCGGACCTGAGTCCGAATGACATTTTTTCATATTCGGACTCGAGTCCGAATAAAGACAGCCAAAATATATTAGTGATTAAAAATGCAGGAGGGGGGGGGGGGGGTGGTGGTGGTAGATCTAGTGATCTAGATTTAGATCTAATCCTCCTTCGTCTTTACTTTACGGCAATTTTCGTGCAGTTTATTGTCTTTGTATTTACCGTGTTTCAATTTCAAGCATCAATGTTCTTAATCTTACTGTTCTGAGCATCAACATTCTAGATCTAGATATCTAGATCTAGGAAATCCGAAATGTCACCAAAAACACGTCGTTCCATGTGGGTATCCCAGGAAGAGATGACATCACAGTGCTGAAATTAGCAGCCAATCAGAAAGATGCGTCTTTTCTACGTTTAACGGCATGTGGGGTTGCCCCCCCTAGCCTGGAAACTTTAATAATAAATAATTTATAAGGTAGTGTTAATTGCGACATAGTGATGCTGTGACAACTAACGTGGTGGACTCGGAGCTCTTTTACGTTGATGATTAGAATCTAACTTCCAGATTCTAAATCTACCATTTCCGCTTCGTTTCCCAGCATAGTGGTCCTAGTATAATATAAGGCCACCTATTCTCACCCGGGGTGAGAATAACGCAGGTATTCTCACCCGGGGTGAGAATAGCGCAGGCGAGTCTTTTGGCTATTCTCTCCCGGTGTGCGTTCACCGTTATAGCCTTGATCTTGGCCAACCAATTTTGCGTTCACCCTAAACCACAGAATTCTACATTGTGATAACAGAAAAATTGTAGATCTAGAATTCTGTGCCGTGAACAAACGTTCCATTACTACTGTTAGCCTACTAAAAGCGTACAATTTTGTCTGTGGGCGGCAGTGGAGAGAGAGAGGAGTAGCGCGAGAACTTTTGGGCTAGACAAAATGGCGTCCCGCGTAGTTCGGCTCGATTCGAAAAGTTAAATAGCCATAGCATCTTTGTAGACAACCAAATTAATTTACTTTTGTATTTTAACATCATTTTTAAACTTTGTTTTGGTCAATTTGATCGTCCACACCGATAGACAGTATTCAGAAAGAGAGAGAGAAGAGGGGAGGAGTAGATCTTGCGAGAACTTTCGGGCAAAACAAAATGGCGACCCCCGTAGTTCGGCTCGATTCGAAAAGTGAAATAGCCATAGCATCTTTGTAGTCGATAAAATTAGCTTACTTTTGTGCTATAACGTAATCTTTTCTTTGTCTTTATCCATTTGATCATCCACATCGATAGAAAGTATTCCGAAATTAGGAAAAACAGGTCTTGTTTCACACCGGGTGAGAATAGCCTACGGTGGCAAGTCTCACCTGGGGTGAGAGGTCGATCGTATTTCTATTCTCACCCCGGGTGAGAATAGCCACTTCCATAATATAAATCTAATCTCCGCCTGACAAGGAATGCTTTCTAGATCTAGAGCAGGCATTCAAATCTTATGACAAATTTGGCGAAGCTTTTGCTAAGTTTAAAGATGAACATTTTTTTGCCTTTAGGAAGAAATCATCTGAAACAGTTGAGAAGGCGAACTTAACTCTTGTCCTGCGTCTGTGCTGAGATGCGAATCTTATCAGCAACCGATTACGTCGGACGTTCTGGGCAGGTCGCCGGGGTGACTCAGTGTGTACTGTTGGTGTACAGCGTGCGCCGGGAAACGTGTTTTCGCCTTGAATACCGTGGGGGTGTGTTAATAGATGATGAAAATAACGCTCTATCTTTCTCATAGCTTTCTATTTATAAAGTGTTACAAACACACGAATAACCCCTTCTCACAAGCTGATTTAATAAGACATTACGAGTTGTTACGCCCATTCGAATAACCTTTCTAGGCGCTGTTGTTATGAATGACCTGAGGTTTGAAAGGGGATAATATAGGTCAAATTACGAATGTTTTGCACTCACATTGTTCTTTGTACCTGCACAATGGTATTCAAAACTATCAAACAAGGTTATTTTTTATCATGTAGTATCATTTCATACAAAATCAAGCTCATTTTGAAAGATTTTGTATAGAAAAATGAAAGTCTTGTTTCCGGACTATCCTTTCGAGCTTCTCGCGTCTAAGTAGGTCAATTTCTTCTATGATTTCATTGGACGAACATCTAGAGCTACCGACTTGGCGTTTTTGAATGAGACGTATGCCTCGATTACGAACCAAAGCAGGCGGTTCTAGAAGAAAGCCACAGACGCACACATACTCAAGCAGACTGACGCACACACACTTGACCTGCATGAATGGGGATCCAACTCGGGACCCGAATTGCACATAAGATGATGCGCGGTGCGGGTATGCTGAGCCAGGCGCAAGACTGACTTGGGACCAGAACGTAGACGAGGTGCCGAAATAGGCTTATCGGGCGACAAACCCGGCCCCCACAAGACGAGGGTTAAAGTGTGTGGCAAAAATCCACGAAGACTTTCTGTACAATAGAGTTGACTTTATCTGTACACATTATAGACAGCCCAACTAATGAGGCAACAAATATTATAACAAACCATCAGCAGCATACAACAACAACAAAAACCACTAGGGGCAACAACAGCAACAAGAAGAGAGCTGTGACCGTCTTTGTTTGTTAGTTTGATGTGTGTGTGTATGTTGGGGGTCAAACTGTTGTCTTTTTTGCTGCTGATCACAATGGCCAATTAAATGTTGCAAATCAAATATTTTCCAAGAAAATTTAAGCCTAATTGCATTAAATTATGAAGGAAAACTAAACAGGGCTAACCCCCAGATTTTTTTGCTTGGGGTGTGGGGGGGGGCATGCCCACTTGAAACCCCCAGATTGGTCCAAAGCATGGAAATTGCTAGAGCTATGCATTTGATGAATTAGGCTGAAGTGTGATATAGTTCGAAAACCATCAGATATTTTAAAAACTAATAATTTGTGATGAATAAAAAGTGTAGATCTAAAATGTATAAAAATGAGAAAAGGGCTTGACTAACGGTACCTGAGCATGGGATGGTCAGTAGTGATTTGAAAGTAAAATAATATGTTAGACACCCCTTTTTCATCGAATGTTTTTCAGTTCAGTGCAGAGTGAGGAGTCAAAATGCCGTCAGGCCGACCCTCAAGGCGAGCCAAGCAACAGGCTGTTGCAGAGATGGAGGAGGCAGAGCAACCTTCGGAAATGTCCATGTAAGTTTATTTATTGGTCACCGATATTGTGGGTCGCCTTCTGATCACGTAGAGTCATCTGGCTCTTGTTTGGGTTATCTGTTGTCGGACACTGAAGAAATGATGTCATTGCGGCTATATCTTTATTTGATGGATCTCATTTCTCTTTTATTTATGAGATAGTACTGGTAAATATTGGTAGTGATAGTTTTCCACTCTAAACTTGCTTTGACTTTTAAGCTTAAAGAGTTATGTTATGTTCCTGGCGTTCTTTAGATGTCATTCCATCAAAGAGACTACAGCTGTACAGTCATTCTGAATTATTTCAAGCCTTTTCAAACACTTGAGAATTGTTTTCGAAAAGCTTGCTGAGCTAATTGATTTGCTCTCACATTACGTTCAAAGTCTGTTAGCACTGTGATTGTGTTTGTGTTCAGATTATGTGACATTGCCAGATTGAGTAAATCAGCTGTTCAGTACAAAATAAAAGAAACTTGGGTGAAGGTGATGAATTGTAAAAAGGATGGGTTGGAATGTGTTTAGATTTTAAAAGCAGAAGAGGTAGTTGTTAAGTTGAAGTTAAATGCCCTGCCTGTTTTCATAATAAAGACATTTTCAGAAAGGATCAGTGAAAGGACTTGCATTTACGGCAACACTGACAAAAAAGGTTAAAGAAATAAGGGAGCTGAACACACCAGAACACCCACACACCGAGGCGATGGCCTCTTGTATAAATATTTAAAAGCAAGTTTTACAACATTTTAACTGGTGATTTTAAAAAAAAAAATTGTTCCTTTGTTGTACACATTGTTGTAAGAAGACTCATTGTGGGTGGTTGGAGGGTGCTCTGGTATGGTTTGCTCCTTCTTTGCTATCAAACATCTATTGTCTTTTTCTCCCCTCCTTCTTTTTAGTGTTTGTTACTCCCTTGTAACACCTCTAATCTTCAGCACTTATATGACTTTATTTTGTTGCAAGTGCCGTAAACCTCTTACGAAAAAAAAAAGACTCTTCAAACTTTTTCTTATTTTTTTTCTTGTAAAGGCAAGACCATGAATCAGACAGTGACTTCGAAGAGCCAAAAGCAAAAGGCAAGAGGAAGAAGAAGGAAGATGGTTACCAGGTTTGTGTTCTCATGCTGGTGTTTGCCCACTTGTTTGAGTGGTTGATGAAACTTATGAAAAGAAATATATGAAAATAGGACTTCTTTTCTTTCCATCTGTTATTCACTGTTTATCTATCTTTCTTCTTCCCTGCAGTACATGACTGTTATTGTCACATTGTGTCAGTGTGCATCTTTACTCAAACTCAGAAAGCCAACTCAAAAAGGAAATCCCTGTAAAATGTGCCTTATTTACAGAATCTTGTATAGAGTGTCTCTTATAGTGTTTACGGGATAACTTGGCGGTATTCCACCGCCTTTTCCTCATTTGTCTGCGGGCGATGGAGGGTGCCACTGGTAGGTCCTACTTCTTTTCTTTCCCTCTTTTGTTTCTGTCTGTCTGTCTTACTGTCCCTCCCCGCTCTAAATGATCGTTATTGTGTCGATGTGCTTCTCATTACTCAAGCATACAAACAAAAACAGTTGACTTTTTTTCAAACTGGGGATCGGTTAAATGCGCCTTATTAACTTATTTACAGGATCCCATGTTGCTTCTCCTGTTGTGTTAATGGGATCAATTGTTCATATTCACTGTCTTTTTTCCTTCTTTCCTATCAAACATCCATCGTCTTTATCTCCCCATCTTCCTTTTTGTGTTTGTTACTCTCTTGTAACACCTCGAGTCTTTTGCACTTATATGACCTTATTGTGGTACAAGGGCTGTAAAACACTTACAAAAACAATTTTCCCCTTTTGTCAGGCTCCCAAGAGGAGGAAGGCCGACTCTCACGCCAAGTCTCGGCGGGCGCACCAGGAGTCTCTGGACCAGGGAGACGGCAGCCTGTTTGAGACGGTCAAGGCCGGGAAAGCTTCTCTACAGGTGGGTGTGCTGTTTCTGTGATGCTATTTTTAGATTCTCCAATTGTGTGTGCTGCCTTCTCCCACAAGGGTTTGTTAAAAAAAATTTAAGTTGTTTTGTTTTAAAGGTGTTTTTACACCACCATCAACCCAATTTAGATGATTTAAGGCGGCTTCCAACCTTGCCTGTCAGGGCCATCGGGCTGAGATTTATATAATCCTTTATTATTAATATTATTATCATCACAATCATTGAAATTAAAAAAAAAATTATTATTATTATCTTCTTCGCCATAATGATAACTATTATTTTTATGATGATATTTTTATTTCTTCTTCTTTGTTATCATCATTATTATTGTTATTATTATTCAGGCGGTGGTGGATGACTGGATAGAAGGCTACAAGCTGGATCGTAACGCAGCGTTGCTGGAGCTGATCCAGTTCTTCATCCAGTGCTCCGGCTGTAAGGGGAAGATAACTCCGTACATGTACACCAACATGGAGCACGCTGAGATCATCCGCAAAATGACAGAGGAGTTTGATGAGGTAAGTAATGATTTGCCATTGTTTTTGTTTTTTTAATATTTAAAATTTTAAGAAAAAAACTTGCTGTTATTTCAACTGAAACTACCCACTTGAATGCGGGTATATATTCAGTGTACAGTGGAGTCCACTTATAACGAGTCCGGAAAAAACGTCTGTTATAAAGACACTATTCTAAAACCCGTTTTTTTTCTCCTCTTTACCTTTGTAAATAAAATACTGCTATAGCGCTATCAGACAAACACGCGAGTCGGTTATAGCGGAATATTGCTGCTGCTGTGCACACTACGTAGGCAAAACTTCGCCAGTTCTGAAACTTGTTGATAATCTTGCGAAACAAAGAATAGGAGAGCCCACGTGAGTCAACAATGAAGGCCGGAGCTACTGAATAGGGAGGGTGTGGCATGCACAGACAAACAGAACGCATCGCATGATAAGCCAGCGTAAGCCTAGTTTAGATTATCGAGGCCTACCATGCCTCTCACTTCTCCGATGCGGGGATGGAGAGGTCACAGCAATGTGATGGATGGAGCGAATGTGTGACGTGCGCAAGCAGACAGAATGCACCACAGGGTGGGGTGGGGGAAAACACAGCGGGCGAGTTAGCCCAGAGCCCTTTTTTCTGATCGCCAACGCCGAGCTGTCAGTCCACATGGCTAGATCTAGCACTGGAGAAAAAAACCTGATTCGATTTTTGATCAAGTAAGACCTAGAGGTCATGTTGAAACAAAATCATCATCAGAGGAGATAGCAAAAGGAAATAAACAGAACACCAAACTCCTAGATTAGGCCTACTTTACAGTTTCCCTTGAATTTATTACTGGATCCCTAATAGCGAGAATCCTGCTATAACGGACATTTTGCTCCGGTTCCCTCCCTCTCGTTATAACAGGATTGCACTGTATTGTATTAATATCCAGACATTTATATTGTTTTCTTCTAGCAAAAAGAAGGCACAGTGGGTGGTTTGTGGGTGCTCTAGTGTAGTGTGGTTTTCTCCTTTCCTTCTTTCCTATCAAACATCTATCATCCGTATCTCTCTTCCCCTACTTCATATATATTTGTATTACTTTCGTGTAACACCTCCAATCTTCAGCACTTATATGACCTATTTGTGTTGCAAATGCCGTAAAACTGTTTCTAAAACTAAAAACCGCGGAGGAGCTTCGGATTCGGTACTTAGGTTTGTGTGTGTGGTATTTTCTTTTCTGACTGAGCCAATGGTAATGCCAAACATTCACAACTGAAATGAAAGCCGCGTCTACGATTGTGATTATTCGTCAGGAAAGCGGCGACTACCCTCTGATCATGACGGGCCCGCAGTGGAAGAAGTTCAAGTCGTCATACTGTGAGTTTGTGCAGGTGCTGGTGCGTCAATGTCAGTACAGCATCATCTACGACCAGTACATGATGGACAACGTCATCTCCCTACTCACCGGACTCACCGACTCACAAGTGCGCGCGTTCCGACACACCAGCACGCTGGCCGGTAAGTTTTTAGGGGTTTTTTTGGAGTGGGGGGAGATTTTTCTTTGCTGCGCGCATGTGCCGTCACCGGGCTCGTAGTCGTGAAGTTGCGGGTTTGGGGGTTCAAGCCGCGGGCCCAACGTTGTGTCCTTGGGAAAGGCACTTTTTCACAAATCTTCCTCCCAGGTGGGAATGGGTGCCCGGCCATAGACAGTGAAAGATCTTTTCAGTATGTTAGTGTTTTAGCTCCTATAAATGGCTGCTGGCACTGTATGCTTCCCTGGAAGTTGAGGTTGTTTTAGAATGCTCTCAGGTCTGCTGGGGTAGTAGTATAGATGGTGAAGGACTTACATTATTTACGGTCTTGTACAGCCAAGAAAAATTTCCCTCTGGAATAATAAAGTATTATCTTATCTTGTCTTATCCGCAAGTGGGAAATGGAGCTTTTGAATACTCAGAATGTTTGGTATAAGTGAAAGGCAAATGATTTATTTGTTGTGGAGAGAAACTGGAGTGCTGAAATTGTGGAAAAGTTTTTCTTTAAGTCAAATGGTCTAATTTGCTATATTACACAAGCCATCTTAATCATTTATTCTTCTATTTTGCTACAAATTTATTTTTTCTCTGCAGATGCATTGGTCATCACTAGACATTGACGTATGAACTAATATTATTATTGTAATTGTTATTATTATTATCATTATTATGATCATCATTATTATATTATTATTATTATTATTATTATTATTATTATTATAATATTGGGTGCTTCTCTTTCTTCGGAAGTGGCTTCATACATAATCTAAGTGGGTGGTTGGCAGGTGCCCTGGTGTGGTTTGCTCCTTTTTTTCTATCAAATATCTATTGCCCTTATCTTTCCTCTTTTCTTTGTATGCTGCTCTCTAGTAACACTTCTAATCTTTGACATTTATATGACCTAATTGTGTTGCAAGTGCTGTAAAATTCTTACGAAAACAAGTCTTTAGTGGCACAGTCCCAGCACTAAATGACCATTGTGGTGTCGGTGTGCTACTCTTTGTGTTTCTCTGTGTGCGTGTTCTGTGCGTGTTTCACCATGTGTGTGCTAGATCTTTACTGTTTCTTTTGTCAGCCATGAAGTTGATGACAGCGCTAGTGGACGTGGCCTTGAACTTGAGCATCAATCTGGACAACACTCAGCGCCAGTACGAGTCGGAGCGGGCCAAACAGCAGAACAAACGGGCCGGGGACCGACTGGAACTTCTCATGCAGAAGAGACAAGAGGTATGAAAATAACAACATACACAACGATTGTCCGGAATAGAATAAATGAGTAATAAATAATAATTAAGGCCTAGAATGTCTATATATTATATTTGTGAAAGTTTGTCACTTTGGTCGCATAAAACTTCCGAACCACTTAACTTTCGATTTTTGACAAAATTAACGGTGGTTCAGAATCATTTAAAGGGTGCACAGTTATATTAAGGAGTCTGAAGTCTCTGTAGTTTAATTTTCAGTTTTTTATTAGTTTCGTGTAGATCTAATCTTGTGAAAGTCTGTCTTCTAAGACGCCATTGTAAACAGGTGAGGCTTCCATTCACAAAAGCAGTGCACACTGGTTCCACAATGACTTGACGATCGATTCTTTTGAGTCCGTGTAATGAATAATTATAATAATACAGTCTGACAGGCGCATTGTGAAATCTTTTCATTACATGCGAATTTCTTTATGCACATGTTTTGAATTGAAAGAGTTAATTTCTTCAGAGACTATTTTTGGGTAATGAAGAGAGCACTGGATAAGCTCAGAGATTTTTTTTTTGTGTGTAGTGGAGGGAATATTAGTCCGAAGATTGATTATAAATTCAGATACTTGAAAAAATAAATTGGTTTGAATAAGATTTGTATTCTGGTTTTTATTTAATGTAAAAAAAAAAAAAAGAGGATATTCTCAAAATTAGTCAAGATGAAAGGTCTATTTTTTTTTTTTGGGGTGGGGGGGTTATGTCTCATGTCCTAACCTGACGTTCTGTCTTTTGACTCCCACAGCTGGAGGAGAACCAGGCAGAAATCCGCAACATGCTCACCTACATCTTCAAGGGTGTTTTTGTTCACAGATATCGGTAAGTTGGAATGTTTGCTCTTTTTCTTTTCTTTTTTTCTTTCTTTTTTTCTTTTTCCTTTCCTTTCCTTTCCTTTCCTTTTTCTTTTCCATTTCTTTTCTTTTGTTTTCTTTTGTTTCTTTCTAGGGTTTTGTTGTTGTTTTTTTGTTTGTTTGTTTGTTTGTGGGTTAAGTAAATGTTATTACCACTCCATCAACACAATTTAGATTATTTAGGAGGCGGGCTTCCGATCCTGCCTGCCTGGGTGAGCCCGGGCTGAGAGGGATGATAAAACATCCCAGAAGAAAGACCGAGATACTTGTTGAAAATTTCCTCCCTACTCAGGAATCGAATTCGAGTCTCCTGCGTGTGACAGCAAGGCACCTAACTGCTACACCAGTGACGCTGGTTGTTTGCTCCTGAACAGTGGTACCTTTGCTTATTCTGTAGCATTGCTATGCATTGCTGATATTTTTTATTGTTAATTGGCTTGTTTGGACTTTCAGTGTATTTTTTAATGCCTTATGACATTTTTGTTTTTAGTATTTGTTCTTGGTTCATAGCTTGGTATCAAGTTAGTCTGGATGGTTATAAAGATTTTGTTTTTAGTCTATTTTATTTCTGCGATGTGATGTGGCGTTTTTATGTTTTATCATAGCTGCCAACCGGTGAGGTGTTGTTTTCTCCTTCTTTCCGTCCAAACATCTTTGGTCTGTGTTTTTCCTTTTTGTTTTTTTGTTCTTTTTGTTTTTTTGTGGGTATGTTGAAATCTAGTAAGTGGGTGGTTGGTAGGTGCTCTGGTGTGGTTTGCTCCTTCTTTCCTATCAACCATCTATCGTCCTTATCTCCCCTCCTTGTATTTTGTGTTTATTACTCTCTTGTAGCACCTCTAATCTTCGGCACTTATATGACCTTATTGTGCTGCAAGTGCCGTAAAACTCTTACTAAAACTTAAATAAAAAGAAATCTAGTAACACCTCAAATTCAGCACTTGTATGACCTAATTGTGGTTTGCTCCTCCTTTCAAACCAAACGTATTTTGTCCTTATTTCTCCTGTTTTAAAATGTTACTAATGACAGCTAATGTTCAGCACTTGTATACCCTGACTGTGTTGCAAGTGCAGTAAAGCCAGTCGAAGTAAGACTTAAAAAGAGTCTGGGTTTTTATTTTCTTGGGTTTTTAAATTTTGTTTTGTAAGCTATGTTTTGTCGTTTTATATGTATACGTTCTGAGCCACCCCTGGACATTTTATGTGTGTTTCTGAAAATGTCAGCTGTGTTCTCTCCCCTGTTACAGAGACACGCAGCCAGAGATCCGGTCCATCTGTATGGCGGAGATCGGGGTGTGGATGAAGAAATATCCCAACATGTTCCTGGATGACAGCTACTTGAAATACGTCGGCTGGACCCTCTATGACAAAGTAAGTCTTAAAAAAACAAATATGGTTCTTTGTTTTCTTTTGTCAGCTTCAATATATATGACAAAGATTTCCTTCTACTCCTTGGTCTTGCTATGGTTTGTAGAAAAGTGGTCGTGTTAGACCTGATTGAAGTCTTGCACAGTGTCTTTATAATATAATGTAACAAAAGAGACAAGGGAGGAAATGGGAAGTGGCTGTTTGTATGGGTGATTGTCTTATACAGGTATCCGTTTGTACAGTTGATTGTCTTTTACAGGTGGCTGTTGGAACAGGTTGGGCCGTATTTCCATTATGATAAGTTCTCTCGATCACTCGATGTCATGTCTCTTTCTCTTTGTCGTTCTGCAGGTCGGGGATGTGCGCTTGTGCTGCCTCAAAACCCTGGCCCCACTCCACGAGACTCCAGATTTGTCTGGGAAATTGGAGCTCTTTACAAACAGATTCAAGGTAAGGACTTGTGGTGGGTGCCTGGTCTTATCTCTTGGCGGTGCCTTGTCTTGGCACAAGACTTGAAAGAGAAGCATAAACGACACATACAAAACTTTCTCTGCTGTATAGGCTTATGTAAATAAACTAGGCTATGAATTAACTATAACATTTCGGTAGAGATACGTTCACTTGTATGTTCCCTCAAAAAATTTTGAAATCGACTTTGCGGTCATCCTGATGATTTGTTGGAATTGTTTTTGTTCCTGATTTCTTTATTCAGATTCTGATTTTTTTCCCTTGAGATCCTGATTGTTAGTTAGATTTCTTAGAGTGGCACGTCTCAGACCTGCTCTCTAGTCCTCTCTTTTTATTAAAAAAAAAATCTACAAAACAAACAAAATAACCCCCCCCAAAAAAACAAAAAACAAAAAAACAACCAACAAACAACCCCCAACAATACAAAAAAATCCCCAAAAGCTCTCAATAAACACCTCTCATCTTCAGCACTGATATATATGACGTGCAGTGTACATTGACTGAGAAGCCCACCCATTATCGAGGAGAAAAGTGGTTGTTTTATACAGATGGTTGTCCTGCATAGGTCTGCCGTGGTAATAGTATAGATTGTAAAGCACATAGAGTTTGCTGTTGAGCAGGAATATGCACTATACAAATGCTGTCTATTTTTATTATTGGGGTCCTTACAATGTAAAAGAAAACACGAGGGAGGACATTAGAAGCTATTGTATAAACTAGTGATTGTGTTTTATAGGCGGACACTAGAGCAGGTTCAACTATACATGTGTTGCAGTCGCCATGAAACTCTTATTTATAGTAGAACTGAAGTAAACGGTTTTTGCTTTGCTCCGCGCCCCCCCCCCACCCCTCCCAGGATCGTATTGTGGAGATGACATTGGACAAGGAGTACGATGTGGCTGTCCAGGCTATCAGGCTGGTCATACATGTACTGAAGTAGGTTGTTGTTGTTGTTGTTTTGAAGTCGTTGTTGTTATTGAAGCTTTCTGATTCTTTTTTGTTCATCAAAGGTTTGCGTAAAATTTGGATATTTTTTTTTCCTCGAATTCCATTTCATTCAGGTTGTATGATACTTCAAGTAAATGATGTGAAACTACACTTTTTTGTTGTTGACAATTCTCGCGCTGCTTAACCCTATCCGTACGCTTTGGGGTCATTTTATACCCCCGGGGTTGTATTCTTCACATTTTAGAAATCTTCTAGTGCAAAGATCTCTTTTAAACTTTCAGTATTTCTCAAAAAGTCATTTTGACAGACTGCTATGCAAAACATACGGATCAGATTAAGGAGTAAATTTCCTGTTTGGAAAGTGGTGGCACAGAGTTTCCCCTCGTCGCATGGATACAATAGTAAAACACGACGTACGGATAGGGTTAAGCTTAGTGTATATGTTGTGAAACACCCATGTGTGTTTTCGCAATACACATTTATTTGCCACAGTTGGTTTGTTACTTAATCTCAGTTCACTAGGGTTCTGAGGGGTCGGATTTTTCCCCCCAAGTGGGTGGTTGGCGGTTACAGTTTGCTCCGTCTTTCTTATCAAACATCTATTGTCCTTATCTCACCTCCTCCTTTTTTGTGTTTGTTGCTATCGAATAACACCTCTAATCTTTGACACTTATATGACCTAATTGTGTTCCAAGTGCCTTAAAAGTCCAAAGCTAAAGCTCCCCCCCCAAAAAAAAACAACCAACCTCTGACATTTAGAGAGGATTCTAAGGAGAACTCCTAATTTTGGTCATGCCTACGTACATCGTTGAATTTCTGGTTGTGAATGAAGCATGAGGAGAAACTTTCCGCTTTGCTTCCCCACCCTCTCACCAATGATGATGATGAATAAAATATGGTGAGAAACTTTCTGTTTCACTGTCACCCTCCCCTTCTTCTCTTCCCCCCCCCCCCCCCTACACACACACACACACACACCACCACCACCACCACCAATGATGATGATGATGGATAAAATATGATGAGAAACTTTCCGTTTCACTGTCTTTCCCCCTCCCTCTCCAGATACAGTGAGAACGTGCTGACAGACAAAGACTGCGAGAACGTGTACGAGCTGGTGTACTCGTCTCACCGCCATGTGGCGCAGGCGGCCGGAGACTTCCTCAACCACAAGCTCTTCAAGCGCGACGACGATGCCCCGCCCGTGCGCTCCGCCAAGGGCAAGAAACGCAGCCTCAACACACCTCTCGTCCGAGATCTGGTTCAGTTCTTTATTGAGAGTGAGGTGAGAGGTTTGTTAGATTTAGGGCTGGGGAGGAGGGGGTGTGTTGAAGGAGATTGAAGGAGTGGAGGGGGTTGGGGGTTGGGGTCTCAAATAAATTTAATACCGTTCTTTTTTTTGGGGGGGGGGGGGGGGGGGGCTTGGGGTGTCAGGGATCAAAGTAGACAAGAAATGGAGTTATAATCTATATTTAGTTGCTTTTTTTTGTTGGTGTTTTTTCTTTGTTTGTTTGTTTGTTTGTTTGTTTTTTTTTGGTGGTAAAAAAGAATGGCGTTTTCAATTTTTTCTTTTTTCTCTCTCTCTCTTTCTCTCCCTTCTCCCCCTCCACGCTCCCTCTCTCCATCTCTCTGTGTCGGTGTGTCTAGCTCCACGAGCATGCGGCATACCTTGTGGACAGCTTGTGGGACATCAACGACATGATCAAGGACTGGGAGTGTATGACCGACCTCTTGTTGGAGGAGCCGGGGAAGGGAGAGGAAGGTGAGACCTGGGCCCGATGGTTGAATGAATTTTTAAAAAACTCATTAAGTTTTGAAGCGTAGTTTGTTGAATTAATGAAAAGTTTGAGGGGAAGGGGATTGAAGGTGAGACATTCTCAAGATTAAAAAAAGAACCTATAAAATTTTGTGGCGTATGTTTGCAAGTCGTTTGGTGGATTAATGGGGAGGGGGGTGGGGGTGGAATGTGAGGCGTTTGCTGGATTGAAAAAAACAACCCATAATTCTGTGGTGTAAGTTGTTCGCATGAAGTTTACCGAATTGCTAGTTTGATTTTTCTTTCGAGGGCAAGTGTGATTGATCAGTGGCCGCAGTGATTGTCTTGTTGTGCGTGTGTATGTTCTTTTGTCAGACTATTGTTGTATGTATATATAATATACAGTCGAACCTGCCTTAATGGAAACCTGTGTAAAACGGAAACCTGTCTTTACGGAATCTCCCCGCCCCCCCTTGATATATTCCTATTTAATTACCTGTATAAAACGGAAACCTGTCCAACGTGGAAACGGAAAGAAAAATCCGCTCCCTTCCGAGGGTTTCACCTGTCTAAGACGGAAAATGTCTAAGACAGTATTTTTTCCCTGCTCCCTTGCGATTCCGTCTTACACAGGTTCGACTGTATTTGAAAAATTGTTAGACCACTCTAGTAACACCTCAAATCTTCAACACTTACGAGACCTGATTGTGGTTTAAGTGCTGTAAAACTTCTGACTAAAAGTAACTGAATCCTTCTGTCCCCTCTGTGTGTGCGTGTGTTGTGGCGGTCAGCCCTGGACGACCGACAGGAGACGAGTCTGATCGAGATCATGGTGTGTTGTGTGAAGCAGGCCGCCTCCGGCGAGTCGCCGGTGGGCAGAGGTCCCAACAGGAAGGTAAAGAAATCACATGAAAAAAACTTTAAGGGGGGGGCTACACCCTCAAAATCAAAATTCGGCTCAAAATCATGGAATTTGAGTTGTAGGCATTTTTAGCTTCCTCAGCCTCTCTTACAACTATTTCATGGCATAAGAACCCCCCAAAACTGTATTTTTTCCCATACCGGGCATGTTTGTAACCGCCATTTCCTCATATAGTCATTATTTTAATTTTCTTTATCGGCCGTTTTCTCAAAACGCAACTTTTCTCTGTACTTTTTTTAATAACTCCACCATTTTTCATCCAATCTTCATGAAATTTTCACAGAATGAAGAGAAAAGGTAATACTAAAAATTTGTCTGTTGAATGTTTGATATATGGAATAGATTTTTGTTGGTGGTGTCTGGAGTGTGGATTTTCACGGATTTTTAGCAAAATTGAATGCTACCTCAGGAAAAAATTCATTAAAATGTTTCTAATTCGATTAGGAAAAAAACAACAGACTAATTTTTAGATCTAATGTTTGTGAACATGCATGCTAAAAAACAATCGATTTCCATGATCGATAAGTGCGGTATTCATTACGTAAGACATGTCAATAAAATCCAATATGGCGGCGTATCCATGGAAACGAAACTTTTTTCTCAAATTTGATTGCGGATTTTAAGACTCCTTACTATGCTTGTTATATGTGTGAAATTTGGTAAAATTCGGTCCAGTAATAAGCGAGATAGCCTCCAGGTGTAGCCCCCCCCCCATAAAATGTTGGTGATTTTAACGCCACAATCACTTGATACAGCTTACATCATTCAGGAGGTGGGCGGAGAAACCGAGATATTCCATAAAGATTAGTAGAAGATGGTATATATCTCTCTCTCTTTCTTTCTTTAAAAAAATTGTTCTTTTTAAAGATACAAATTTGGGGCAATAATTATGCTTGCCAACTGTCCAGATTTTTCTCTCAACTGTTCTGGATTGGGCAATCTGGAACTTAAGTGCCTTATCACATACACTTTTCTCCCTCCGAGACCTGACTTTGACAACACACTCAACGGAACATTACAGCTAATGCAGCAAACCTGCACTTATCACTACATGGCATAGGACAGAAGGGCGAGAGTCCAGCTGTTGCTGGATGGATAACAACAACAACAATCACATACCCTTCAACAAAACCAGTCCCACGTGAAGTAATTTTGTTTGGTGTATGTGGACTGTGAGGTAACAGCTTTGGTGTCCCTTATTAGGTTTTGCAAAAGTTGGTAAGCCATTAAAAAATTGAACATTTTCCTGCTTCACTGTTACTATTGACACTTAAGATTTAGTGTATTGTGCTACGTTTTTAGTTTTTTAAAAGAAATTTATCATTTTAAAAATTATTTATTTTATTTTGGTGGTTTGTTTCTCTCAGATGTCGGCAAAGGAGTCGAAGCAAGTGATGGAAGACAAACAGAAACTGACGGAACATTTCATCTCAGCGCTACCCCAGTTGTTGCTCAAGGTGGGAATTGTTACAGAACTCTTTGTGTGTTCCTCCCCCCCCCTTTGGTAGCTAATAGTTTTGTCTGAAGTCGTGAACGTTGTAGATGTTTTGAATACATACTTTTTAGTTTTCTGTGATGTATTTGGTGATCGTTGGCTGTCACACTAGTAGATTTTGTTCTTTTATAATCATTCCATTATTTCTGTTTGCTTATCCTGTTTTTCACCTCACAAATGACTGTTGAAAGGGCCATGTGCTTTCTTTAACTCTGTCTCTTAGATGAAAGATGAATTTTTTCAATAAAAGCTGTCTCACTGGTAGATTCTATTTCTTAATATTCTGTCTATTATTTCTGTTTGCTTGTCAATTGACTGTTGAAAGGGCCATGTGTTTTTCAAACATGGGAAGTTGTTTTGTATACTAATTGTGCATTTTCTGAATTGTGTTACAATTGTAAAGAAGTAGATTGCTGGTGAGTGTTCTGGTGTGGTTTGCTTCTTCTTTCCTATCAAACATCTATCGTCCTGGTCTATCGTCCTTTTTTGTGGTTGTTACTCTCTTGTAACACCTCTAATCTTCAGCTATTTTATTACCGTATTGTTTTTTAAGTACTGTAAAACTTACGTAAACAGACAAAAAAAGAACAGTTGTAGTGAAGAATTAGTTTTCAGAATTCATAATTATAATTGTCTTATCATCTCTAATGAGAAAATCATTGGTCTGTGTTTTCAGTTGTTGTGTTCTATTGAAAGACTCTTTGGAACTGTGTTTGTTATATGTTTTATGTTTGTTTGTTTATTTATTTTCTTTCTGTTCCAGTATTTGATGGACCCAGAGAAAGTGGCCAACTTGTTGCAGATCCCGCTACATTTTGACCTGGACATCTACACCTCAGGCAGGCAGGAGAAGGTGAGGGTGGTTTTTTACAAGCTCTGCTTTTTTGGGGTTTTTTTTGAAAGGGTTGGCAAGGAAATCTTACACAAGGGTTGTTGGTTGGCAGGTGCTCTGGTGTGGTTTGCTCTTTCTTTCCTATCAAGATCTATTGTCCTTGTCTCTCCTTCATCTTTTTTGTGTGTTTGTTACTCTCTTTTTTGTGTTTCTTAGCATCTCAGATCTTCAGCACTTATATGACCTAAGTGTGTTGTAAGTGCCGTAAAACTTAAACTTAAAAACAAAAAAAACGTTGATTAAAACCAAACCTAAGCTGACTGGGACAAAAAATGTCATGGCTTATTTGTTGATTGTTGCTTTCTCTTTTCAGAACTTGGAACTGTTGCTCCGATACGTCAACGATATTGTAGAAAAACACACTGGGAATGAGGTGAGTTATGGTGTCCAGATTTGAATTTGTTGTAAGTTAATAGATGAATAAATAGCACCTGTATATCGAAAAGCCACACTCTACAGCATGCTCTTTTCGCTTTACAATCCTTTTTTTTTTTGTGTCTCATGGTGTTCAGGCGTATTTTGTCTTTATTCTTTGTCATTCTTTTTCTTTTTATGGTCAGGTAAGTGTTCTACTTGATCTGTTATTTGTTTTTGTGGTCAGGTATTTTGAAAGTGTATTTCTTCTTCTTTCTCCTGGTGATAAGGTGTTTTTTATGATTATTCTTTGTCATTATTTTCTTTTTACGATGGCAATCTTTATCCATCTCTCGGGAGAAATTTGTCCTGGTCATTTGTAGTCAGGTATATTGAAATTGAAGGTTTTTAGTTGTTGGTTGGTGGTTGCTCTGGGGTGGTCTGCTCCTTCTTTCTTTGTTGTCAGTTATTATTGTGAAAGTGTTTTTATCATTACTCTTCGTCTTTATTTTCTTTTTGGGGTCTGTTGTTATTTTGAAAGTGTTTTTAATCTTTATTGGTCATTATTTTCTTTTTGGGGTCAGTTATTGTGAAAGTTTTTTACTTTCATATCTTTTTGTGGTCTGCTAGCGGTAAGGTGTTGTGAAAGTGCTTTTATCGTTATACCTTATCATTATTAAGTTTCTTTATGTGGTCAGCTATTATTGTGAAAGTGTTTTGATCAGTATTCATTTTTATTATTTTCTTTTTGTGATCAGTTATTTTCTTTTTGTGATCAGTCGTTATTTTCTTTTTGTGATCAGTCATTATTTTCTTTTTGTGGTCAGTTGTTATTGTGAAAGTGTTTTTATTATTATTCTTCATCATTATTTTATTCTTGTGGTGAGTGATTATTGTGAAAGTGTTTTTATCGTTATTCTTCATCATTATTTTCTTTTCGTGGTCGGTCATTATTGTGAAAGTGTTTAATTCTCCTCCTGTCTGTCTGCGGCGGTTGTCAGGTGCTGGAGGCGTGCTCCAAGTGCCTGGAGTGTCTGTGTAATGAGGAGTTTGCCATTGCTGGAAAGTGCGAGGTCAGCAAGAAGACGCTGGTGGATGCGCTGGTCATCAAGCTCAAGCAGGCCGTGCAGGACTACTTCACAGAGGTTTGTCTCATTGTGAAAGTAAAGAAACCCAACAGCCGTTGGCCATTTTTCTGCTCATGGGACAATTTTTAAAAATGTTTTGTTTTGCATAGCTGCCACTTTCCCGCTAAATAGCGGAAACTCCGCTTCATCTAGCTTGTCCCGCTACTTTCCTCCTTCCTCCGCGGGACCGCTCTCGGTCGCAAATTTCTATACTTTTTTTTTTACCCGCGGAAAACACCGAACCGGAAGAGAGACGAAAACGCCGCTTGCGCATGTCCGCCCATGGCTTTTTACTTCCGTTCTTCTAGGCCCAGCGCAAGTTTCACATTGTTTATTGTGGGTGGATCAGCACACTGTCGATCGCGCCGAGTTGTCATTGAAAACGGCGGAAATTCGAGAGAAATTGATGCAGAATGTAAAAATAAAAGGAGCTGGAATGAGAAAGAAGCAGCCGGTGTGCGACTTTAAAAGTTCATTAGAAAATTGAACTAGCCGCTTGCTGCGACAGAAATTGCGCCCCGCGGCACTCCTGTACAATTGCGGTCCCGTTTGTTTACATGACAGCTATTGTGGCTGTGGAAGTGAATCTAGATCTAGATCAAAATAATCTATCTCTAGATATAATCTAGATCTACACATATTTAGATATCTAGATTTTAGATCTAGATTAGATAGCCTAGGCTATAATTTTAATTCAGTTTAGATCTCTAAATAAGAAACACCCTACACTACAGGGGCACTAAGTGCAAATGGGACGGCAATTGTACAGGAGTGCCTGCCTCCTTGATCCGATACTGCTCTACATCGATGTACAATTTTAAAGTGAAAGAAATCTTTTTATGAGACACCAGCTGGCAAAAAAAACCACTGGATTTTTAGTCACCAAGTCCAAACTGTTAAATTGACTTGAATGCTTGTTAGTCAACTTAGTCCCATTTGGTTTTTTGTTGTTGTTTTTTTTTCTTTCAAATACATTTTAATTCTGTCGCCTATGGTTAATAATATGACAGTTGTCCCTTCCAAAACCGTAAGCTAGATTTTCCAGTATATATTGCCTCTGGATCTCACTGGTTTTACTCCGGCCTTCAGGGAGCGCGCGTACGCCTTCGCGTGAATTTCCTCCTTTTTTTAAATTCCTGAGTGGCAGCTGAGGTTTTAGTTCGACACTTTTTATATCCATTTAGAAATACTTTTGTGTGTGGATTTTTCTGAAAAACATTGACCGCAGGCACAAAAAAATATATAAATTTGCAGTTTTCAAGAACACTAAAGCTTTGGAGGTTACCAAACTGGTGACCATTTTCTTGTTAATGTTACCTTTGACACCAGACGACTCCTGCCTCCTTCAAAAGCTCATAATTTGCACGTGCATGGCGAGTGAACCAGTTTTGAGATGAGACCAATAGCTCCAAATGCCAAAAAATTGATAAGCGTCTGATTCCACTGCGTCATGACTCACATACATATATACCCACTGGCCAAACGCTACATGTTATTTGGCATTCCTCAGGGCGACACTCCGGACGAAGACGAAGCTTTTGCCCTGCTGGCCAGCCTGAAGAGAATCTACGCTTTTTACTCGTGAGTTTGTGGTCTCCTTTATACCGTTTGATGAACAGTTGGAACAATCTATTGTCTTGATCTCTCCTCCTTAAAAATGTTTGTTACTCCCTTGTACAACCCATAATCCAGGCACTTACACGATCTTATTGTTTTGCGACTGAAATAGAACTCTTACTAAAACTAAAATAATAATCATTTACATTTTGAGACTGCTTTGAGATGGGGGGGGGGGGATTCTTACCTTCTTGGTTGTCTTTTCCTTGTTCTGATTGTACGTATGTTCCATGCATGGACTTTTCTTTTTTGAGAAGTATTCTTTTAATTTCTGATTTACTGGTTATTTAATTCCCATCTTACTTGAGTTTTTTCTTTCATTCATCCAATTTGATGTACAAGTAGAATTCTATTCTTTTACTTTTTTAGGTTTCTTTCAAGTCGGGTATTTTTTGTTGGATGACAGGTGGACGCCTGACACTGTGTTATTGTAAAGTAAAAAAAATAATTTTTGTAACCACGCAAGGAGGGAAATTGGAAGTGCCTCTTTGTACAGGTGATCGTCTTTGACGGGTGGCTGATAGAGTTTCTTGGATAGGTGGCCATAAGAGCAGGTTTTACAGCATTTATTGACAGATGGCTGTTGGATTGTCTTAGACAGATGGCCGTAAGAGCAAATTTTTACAGCGTTTATTGACAGGTGATTGTCTTAGACAGGTGGCCGTAAGAGCTAGTTTTTACAGCGTTTATTCACAGGTGATATCTTAGACAGGTGGCCGTTAAAGTGTCTTAGACAGGTGGCAGTTAAAGTGTCTTAGACAGGTGGCTGTTAGAGCTAGTTTTTACAGCGTTTATTGACAGGTGATATCTTAGACAGGTGGCCGTTAAAGTGTCTTAGACAGGTGGCCGTTAAAGTGTCTCAGACAGGTGGCTGTTAGAGCTAGTTTTTACAGCGTTTATTGACGGAACATTCCCCCATGTCCCCAGGTGCCACGACCTGACCAACTGGGAGTTGTGGGAAGACCTGTTCCTGGTGGTCAAGTCGGCGCGGGACAAAGTCAGCATTCCTGAGGAGGTGAGTGCTCAGCTGGTGGGTGGGGCAGGTTCTCAGGGTGTCCCAGGTCGCTCAGGGTGGTGTGTGTTTGTCTTCTCTCTCTCTCTCTCTCTCTCTCTCTCTCTCTCTCTCTCTCTCTCTCTCTCTCTCTCTCTCTCTCTCTCTCTCTCTCTCTCTCTCTCTCTCTCTCTCTCTCTCTCTCTCTCTCTCTCTCTCTCTCTCCCTCTCTCTCTCCCTCCCTCTCTTTGTCTGTCTCTCTTCAATGGCGGGTAGTTGGAGGGTGCCGCTGGAAGGTATTACTTTATTTCTTTCCCTGTATTGCTTCTGTCTGACTTTCTTTTCCCCTGCACTAAATGACTTTTAATATATTGGTGTGCTTCTCTTTACTCAAACAAATCAGCAATCACTGTAATGTACTGTCTTTATGTTTGAGAACTGCAGCAGTTCAGATTGCAAGTGGGTGGTTGGAGGGTGCTCTGGTGTGGTTTGCTCCTTCTTTCCTATCAATCAAACATCTATAGTCCTTATCCTTTCTTCTTTTTTGTGTTTGTTACTCCCTTGTAACACACATAATCTTCGGCACTTATACGACCTTATTGTGTTGCAAGTGCCATAAAATTCTTACGAAATCAGAGAGCAATGTCATGTGCTACTGTTTGTGTTCCAGATCATTTGCAAGGCCATCCAGGCGTGCTCCGTGGCAATTCTCTGGTTCTTGAAGCGCATTGACGAAACCAAGCCCAGACCAGTGAGTTACTCCTGTGTTGTTTTTACATCTCTTTTAGGCCTGCCACGCACTCTGATAAAATTGGACCCCTCCCATTTTTTTTTTTTTGTTGCCTATTGAAGAACCCTAATAAGATTTGCATAAAATCCTACTTTTTTCTTGAATTCCATTTCCATCAGTCGAATGCAATGTATCGTAAATGACATGAAAGTACTCAGGGTTTTTTTGGGTTTTTTTTCAATATATTCGCCCGACATAAGATAGGCCTATATGGCATACAAATAAATGTTCTTATTTGAATGCATTTGCAATGCACATTTATTTGCCACAATTAGTTTGTAATGTAATTCAGATTGTAAAAAAAAAAAAGCAGTCCTTGTTATCCATGTGTTAATTGATGTTTTATGTCTGCGTCGTGCCAGGACGAGATGAAGCGGTTGAGGAAGAAGCTGGCTCACCTCATGCTGTGTTGTCACGAGCTCATGTTCCACGATGGGGAGAAGGTCAAGGAGGAGGTCAGTATGGGTTGGGTTGCTTTTTTGTTGCTGTTGGTTGTTGTTTTTGGGTTGTGTTTTGGGTGTTTTGTTTTGTTTGTTTTTTTCATTGTTGTATTTATTTATTTTTATTTTTTTTGAGAGTTTTTGTTTGTTCGTATTTTTGTTGTTCATTTCCCCCCCCTCTCTTTCAATATGTCTTTTATCATTTCATTCTGATAAATTGTACAAACTCAACCCACCGTTAGTTTGCATTGGGCTGAAGTCGGAGAAGTAACTGATTTTGTCAGCATGCCTCACCCACCGACTGTTCAGCGTAAAACTCCAATCGTACGTCTCTGTCAAATAAAATAGCATGTGGTGGGGTCTTATGCTAAGCAGTCAATATGTGAATGGATTTTAATTTTTTTTAAACCGTTGCTCATTTTTTCAGAGGGCCTCACATATGTTTGAACTTTTTTGGGTTTTTTTCTTTCCCTTGTGGCCAGATGTATGTGACCATTTATGACTCATTTTGTCAGAATACCTCACGTGTGTTAAAAGTTTTTTTTTTACTTTTGTCTTTTCTCTCCCCCGTGTTCAGGCGTACGTGACCATCTGTGACCTACTGATCGTGTTCGGGCCCCACATGGCAGACGCCAACCCCCTGATGGGCCCCCTGGTGTTCAGCGTGGAGCCCAAGCTGACAGCACACCTCAACGACTTCCTGATGACCAAAGTCTTTGTGGAGGACGATGATGGTGAGTCCAGATGTGATGATAGTAATAGGCATGCCTCTTTAATTTGCTAATGCTGCTGCATTCCCATTTGTACTCCTTACCCCCTGTTAGTCATCCATCTTCTTCTTTTTCTTTTTTTCCCCTATTTTGTTCTTTTCCTCTTCCTCCACCTCATTCTCTTTCTCCTCCTTCTTCTCCCCTTCCTTCTGTCGGTGAAATATTAGATTTGGAGCAGTGTCTCAGATATGGAACTTCGTTTCTCTGCGACAAAATTTTTTGGCGTTGTATCTTTTCATCTTTTGATTAAATAGTCAAGGACAGCGTTACTTTTTCTCTTACTGATCTACCCATATTTGTAGGAATAATATAAAAATGAGGTTAAAAAAAAAAATAATTCTGAACTGAAGTACAAAAGCAAAACTGAACGATTTGCAACTGAATTATAATAACAAACTGAGAAAAACTTCTGACTGGGATATCCACAGACGATATCGACGAGAACGTGAAAATCGAAGAGCTACACAAGCGGCGTAACTTCCTGGCGTGTTTTTGCAAACTGGTCGTCTACAACGTGGTTCACATCAAAGTCGCCGCAACCATGTTCAAACACTACATGAAGGTGAGGACGGGAGAAATGGGAGAGGGAGGGGCTGAATTTTCTTTATTGTATAGTGGAAATAATTGTGTAAAATAGCCACCCATTGTTGAGGAGGAAAGTGGTCACCTTATTCGGGTGACTGCTAGAGCAGGTTCCACTGTAAATGTTTTATGATAATATCAGTAAACATTAAGATGTTCAAGCACTATGTATGTGGGGGATTAGTACTGTTTTTTTTGTAAATGTTTTAGGACAACATCAAGATGTTCAAGCACTAGATCCATATGAAGGTGGGGGGAGGGGGGATGGACGATTGTTATCATAAATGCTCTATGCTAACCAATAAGGTGGCAACATTATTTGTAAGTGACTCCTAGGTTTGAAGATTTTTTTTTTTTTAAAGACTAGACTAACATTTTTCAGGACAATAAAAGTAAAAACATGTCTTTTAAAAGACTTTTTTTTTTCACCTTCTTGAATGAGATACAAATATTTTTTTCCCCTTCATTTATACAGAAGTGCATTGTTTGTTGCTACACTCACATTCCACATGTATATTTTATAATTTTAATTCATTCAAATCCATTGGATTCTTTGTATGCTATATAATGATTTGCATAATTCCCTCACCAGTTCTACAATGACTATGGTGACATCATCAAGTTTACCCTGAGTAAGGCGAGAGAAATCAACAAAGTGATCACCTCGAAGACGCTTGCGATGAGTCTGCAGCAGGTAGGTGTCGCACTTTTCCCAACCGACTGGTTGTGGCGTAGAGAGTTCTAGAAGGTAGATGTACAGTTTGGCTCTTCGTTAATTAGCTTATTATTTGTTTAATTTTGTTCTTATTTATACTTATTGTTGTTTTGTGAGTCATTTTTCTCTCTGTTGTTGTCTGCAGTTGTTCAAGGAGCTCCAGGCAGAACAAGGAGAGGTAGACCGGTCGTCTGATGCCTTCCAGTCCATCAAGGTATGGGACAAATGTGGTGACGGGTGCTGGCAACCTAAGATAAGATAAGATCAGATAATACTTTATTATCCCAGAGGGAAATTTTTCTTGGCTGTACAGAACCGTAAAAACACATGCAGGTATACATTAAAAAATTTAAATTATATACTGCTTGAATGTTAGCCCTTGGAAAGAGAGAAAGAGAATAAGAGAAAGATATTACGTGTTATATTGTGAAAGTTTTTCTTGGTGCGTCTAATTTATAGGTTACTCTCCATGATTAATTAGTATGAAATATTAAAAGACATTAGACTTGAAATAGAAAAAAATGGCATGAGTTGAATATCTACAACTTTGACTCCTGTGTTTATTTTTTCAGCTGATATCTCCACTGGCTTGCGAGAAGTGTGCTTCAAAGTCTTTTCTTTTTTAAAATGAAGTTGTTTTACATAATTGTAAATAATGATGGTGTAGACGTTGGGTGCTTTGTCATTGTACTGGGAAGATATTAGTTCAATCCCTTAGTGGCTAGGCTACTGGGACCGTAACTGTGGGATTACGGGTTGTAGGGGTTTGAGGCTGAGCTGGATCCAATGATTTGTCCTCGGGTAAGGCATTTTACACAAATTTTGTTTTGGAGATGGAAGTTGAATACAGAGGTCGCACCTCCTGAAAAACCTCACATTGTTGGGAGGGGCGTTAAACCTATACCATTTCAATTTTTTTTCTTTCCCCATCTTCTTTTTTTCTTCTTTTTTTTAAAACATTTTTTCCTGACCCGTCTATTCTCATGTCTACCACAGGAACTGTCCCGGAGATTTGCCCTGTCGTTCGGCCTGGACCAGATAAAGAACCGAGAGGCCGTGGCTACAATGCACACGTGAGTTGTCGTGACGATGGCCGAGTCTGAAAACTGGGTGGTTGTTGTGTGCTCTAGTGTGGTTGATCTGAATGGCTCTTTTCCTCTATGGAGACAGTCAATTTATCTTAAGATGGTCTCAAGGTTGTCTTCATGCAGCTTCTTTCATGGCTAATTTGAAGTGCAGATTCTGTCGCAGAGCTTGCATGTCAGTGGCGTGGATCGAAGCTCTATATTTCCGCTGTTTTCCTTTCGTCGTTGGCGCTTCTCAGACTGGTTGTTTCTGAGGCTGCTCTCTCGCTTTATAGTTCTTTTCTTTATCATTCTCCTCAATGTTTTCCCGTCCTCAACTATTTCTTCCCAGATGCTAACATCTACTCCAAGCTTAGATAAGCTGTTTTTGCAGATGTCTTTGTATCCCAATTTTGGTTTTCGTCATGGTCTCTTTCCTTGGGCAAGTTTTTCATAGAGAGGTTGCCTCGGAATCCTGTTGTCGTCCATTCTCTTGACATGGTCCAGCCTTCTTAGTCTTCTTAAACACAGGAAAGTTGTCATGCTCTGGGGGTTTGCCTTGGCCAGCACTTCAACATTGGTAGCCTCATCACGCCTTGTTGTTGGTCTACTCCATTTATTATTATGTCCATCATTACATGTGTCAACCCACCCGGGGTGGTGTTGTTGACTAAAGTATCTTTATGCCATTCCCTAAGGGGGGAACATTAACATGTTCTTATGCACAGTACATTGTAAATGGGCTGATTCATCAATGTCATGCTCATAACTGTGCCTGAACTGCAACAGGGAACTGCTCCTTTTTCTTTCCTAATCCTTACTATCGTCATTTTTCTCTACTTTTTTTGGTATGTTTGTCACTCTCTTGTGACCCACTATTTCCGGGGTGCCTTGATAGTCGAAGCAGACTTTGTGCTGTTGAAACTAGAGAGGTGAGCAGAGAAGGCCTGATTCCCTGTAAGAACTTCTCTGTTGACATCTACCTCTTGGCGCTCATATGACCTTATGCAGTTGCGAGCGCCGTAAAAACTCTACTAAAACAAACAAATGACATGTGTCACGACATGGTGGCACTTATCAATTTTTTGGGCATATGCAGTAATTGGTATAATGTTAAAGCTTATTCATTTGTTGTGCTTTTGAAGTTTTAAAAAATCCATTTCTTGTCCATTGTATTGTATATTTTACTGCTTTTTTGCATGCTCGGTTTCTTTGATCTGTGGTGAATATAGTCACAATGATTTTTTAAAATAGGTGGCAAAACCCTGGCTTGCTTCGCATGTTTAGCTATGGGTTTGCCAACTGTCCTGAATTTCTTGGGACTGTCTTAGATTTGGCAGTAGTCGGGGAACTTTAAAGGTTTTATCACATACACTACACCAAAACAAGTCTCACTTGATGTAATTTTGTTCGTTGTTATAAAATCTCTACCCTGCCGGGGGGTGAAAGACATCGATGATGATGTTATATAATCAAGTATTTATAACGCTTGATGTCCCCAATTGGATTTTGAAAAAGTTGGCAAGCCTGAATCCATGAAACAGTGGGTGGTTGGCGGGTGCTCTGGTGTAGTTTGCTCCTTCTGTCCTATCAAACATCTGTTGTCCTAACCGCTTCTCCTTTTTTCTGTGTTTGTTACTTTCTTGTAACGCCTCTAATCTTCGGTACTTAAATGACCTTATTGTGTTGCAAGTGCTGTAAAAATTTCTTACTGAAACTAAACATTCTTTGGATGTTGAGCCATGGGCTTGCCAACTGTACCGAATTTCCCTTGACTGTCCCAAATTCGGCAATCAGAAATTTGAGAGCCTTCTCACCTTACACTACACCAAAGCCAGTCCCACGTATGTTACTTTGTAAGTTGTTACGTAATTTTATGTTATACCATTGGGTATCCCTGATTTAGTTTGGGAAAAGTTAGATAGCCACGAGTGACAGAGTCGTAAAGTGTCTGTCAGCGAGTGAGATTAATAAGTACAATTTTCTTTTCTTTCCCCCCTCCCTCCAGAGAAGGCATCGTGTTCAGCCTGAACCCGTTTGACAACCCAGACCGCGGCCCGGCCGGCGCCCCTCAGAACCTGGCCTTTCTGGAGGTGTTGTGTGAGTTCACCAACAAGCTCATGAAGATCGACAAGAAGACAGTGTGAGTACTGCTCCTTTACACTCTAACTCTTACAGTTAAAAAAATTATTTTTTTAAAAAATCAAACAAAAGTGTTTGATGGCTTTGGGAGGGTGTAAGATTTTTTTAAACCAAAAACTGACCATATAAAGACGTGTAAAGTACCTACGAAATGGGAATATGGCTACTTGAAGGCAAGGGAAAGACAGTCACATACTTAAAAATCAGTTGAGCTGCAGGTTGAAGAACTAGCAGTCGACTTCCCCTGTGTGGATGGTTGGCGGGTGCTCCCTCTTTCCTATCAAACATCTATCGTCTTTATCTCCCTCCTTCTATTTTGTGTTTGTTACCCTCTTGTACTTTTTACTTTTACTTTTTTATCCTCTGTTGCTGTTAAGCGTCGAGGGGAGATGCAGTTTTCTATGGTAGGCCAGCTCCGCAGCTCTTTCAGT